TAAATTATTATTATAATTATTATTATAATATGTAAAATTATGCAAATATAAAGAAAAGTGTCATTAGTTTGTCACGGGTGTGACAAAAAAAAAAAAATTGGGTTGATATGAAGATTCGAACTTGAGAGCTTTGATTTAGGGATGCCTGAACTACGGAGATCCCGTTGGAGTCTAAGGAAATAAACCAAATTAGTCTAAATCCGATTAGCTAGTCACTCTCTACTTTTCAAGAGCTTGTTAACTTAAAATTTATCGAGAATTGATGATTTCAGTTCTTTTGGATCGCAGCCGGATCTTGGTTGCCTCGTGGTGACGTTTCATGACATGTTTTGAGTTCCTTTTTTTTTTTTGTGAATCCGTGTTTTAAGAATATGGGACAAAAATCGAACAGCAATATAGTGAACTGGCCCTATAATTGGCGTTATGCACAATTTTCGCTCCCGCCTTTGTCATGAAGCAGTCCCGTCCATATCTTTTACCCTTTCTAAAGCCTCGTTTTACTTGCTGTCTCTGCTATGAAAAGATTAGGGGAAAAAATAATCGATATCACCGTTTTCAGTTGAGTTCATTTGTTGTCCGATATTAATATTTGTTATTCTAGCTAATTTTGTATTTCGTGTTTCACTTATTTCACCTTTTCATTTGTTTCCTTTACGTCACGTTAGACCCGTGACACACCCATTTAGAATGCGAGTAAACTTTAAATTTAGCGATTACGAACTTAGAACCTTTGGCTTGTGTAGTTACACAGCTAACCGCAAAATTACTGTGTTTCCGTAGAATATAAAACACTGTTGTAAGAGATTTAGTCAGATTGAAAGAACGCACAAACGGAGTAGACAGAGCAGATTGTAACAGAGTGAGCACGTTCAAATAAACCATTCAAACCATAGGCGGCCCAAGCTCATTACTAGCAGTGAGCTTGGGCTGCCTGTGTTCAAACGGAGAAAGATACAGTCCTCACTTGATTGTGAATCAGCGCTGGGAAAAAATCCCCGTACATTTGTCATAAGGTCGAATGAGACAGGTATCATGAACTCTGATTATTTTAATTCAATTCATCACTTAGATAAATTTAAATTTACTCGATTTTTACAGCATGGATTTTATGTAATCAAGGGGGGGGGTAAGGCTACAATTTTGTGCACTTTTCTTCGCGTGTATCCTCGCACGATCTCTTTTGGCCTAGTCATGAAACGTTTTTTTCTTTTTGTTTTACGAAGAAAGCGTGTTTCTTAAAGACACTTTACAAAGGCAGCAAAGAAAACCAGTACATGTGTTGATTTACAAAATGAGCTGAAAATATCCTGCCAAGTCAGACAGCTACAATTTGTTGTAACATTCAGTTACTCCAATATCTTTAGGTCCTTAGAATTAAGACAATCAGATTCGTATCCTGACGAGCTGCTGACGTCACCATACCCCCCTTCACTGTCACTGCAGAGTGAGGCTCCCCCCACAGGACCATCAAGCATTGCGTCCTGCCAAGTCAGAGCTCGTATGTGATTAAGGCGTTCTTGCGCGTGATGAATTTCTGTGTTAAAGCCCATCTCAGTCGCCAGGTCTTTGGCACAATTTGCATATCTCTCGGCCTCTGAGTAGTTCCCTTTGCGGTATTGCAGATCCGAACTGACCAAGTTGAATTGCACTTTGACACCCTCGGCGATTAACGACCAGTATTCCGTTTTCAGTCTGTTCAAACACTGCTGGCCTTTTGCAATGGCATTGTCACTGACAACGCGTTCACGCGCGGCTTCCGTGCGGCAGTCCAACAATAGCATCGCCATTTTGATGAGTGCGAAGTGGTGTTTCTTCACGTAGAGATTGCTTTCGGTTTCCAGCTTTGTACAGACGTCAATACATGTTTCCAAATTTCTTACAGCTTCATTCTCTTGCTGCTGGCTCCTACAAGCTGTGGGTCTATTGAACTCAAGCAGAACGCCCGCGCGTTCATAATCGATGAAACTCGTGTCGAGATGCGTGTGACACGTGTGATTGATTTGTTCTGCAAGATCCACGTACCGCATAGCCTCTCCTAGGTTCCTCTGTCGCCTCTTCACGCCGGCTATGTAACCATAACCTCTTCCACGAAGAAGTTCCTGATTTTTGGCACTGTCAATCATATTGAGTGCTTCATCAATCATCTGAAGAGAACTTTCTAACTGGTTTTGGTAACACTCTGCCACGCTTTGTTCCAGTTTAATAGCTGCATTGAGCCCTCTTAACTATAACTTTTCTGTTTCCAACTCTTCCGCCCTATTGAATAAACTGCTTTGGCACACGAGTACACTAAAAACTGAGAAACTTAAAGAATCTCCTTATCAAGTTCATGCCGGTATTTCTGCTACGCGAGAACTGCGGCACAAAATCTGAATCAATCAATGAGTGGAGAATTAGCGGAAATGAAATCACACATCAATCCTTCAATATATTCTAGCTAGCGATTTATAAATTATCCTTCTTAAGACTTGCTTTAATATTCGTTTATTAAAGCTATTTCATGCGGTACTCGATGATGTTTAGCAATGTTTAAAAACATTTAACAATAGAGAGATTTAGCACCGCGTGAACGACAAGAGTGACCACATGACTTGGTTTTTCCCGCCATTTTTCTGCGTTTGCCGTGTACGTATAATTTTCTTTACTTTTCTCTCAAATAATAGAAGTTCATTGCCGGAAAAAAAGCAGCGAAACTATTCCTTGTAAGCCATACAAGAGCGCCTTCAAATTCATCATGATGTGAGCTCACGCGGGGCTAAAGGAGCGAGGTTCACGATATTTGACGTGAAGCGTGAAAGGGCAAGTTGACGTTTGCCGTTTCACGTAAACGCGGTGCTAAATCTCTCCAGGGGATGTTCTTCATTGCGTTTAAACCCCGGAAAAAAACCTGATTTTTGGCAGGGACCAATATTAACCATCATCTGCATAGTCCCTTCAGCTCCTCTTTTAGAGTTAGTTAAAGCACCGTTTAGAGCGCCAATAAATCTCGTAAAGTCGAGGCAATCACATTGCTCAATTAGCGGCAGAGAAAATATGACAAAACTCTTGTGGAAATTCAGAGTAAACGCATAATTACTGCTCAAGGTTAGAGGGGGTTGGAGGGGGATGATTCGATTAATTATAAAGAAAAACAAGAACTGGGTTCTGAATATGAATGTTATTTTGTGAGAGGATGAAAACGAAAATGAAATTTATCCAGATCTTTTCAAGACGAGAACTAAAAAGCCTACTCTTACAAATACCCATCGACATCTCAGTGATTTCAACCCTTCAAAGATATGACCATAAAACCGGTCTTTATTACACCTTTGGCCCCGAGGGATTACAATACTGGAGATTTGACCAAACTTAAAGTGCACCTACACCCAAAAAATTTTTTTCTCTTAACGAAGTAAGCTTATTTTTTTGAGTATTTCTGCGCAAAAATTTATTTATTTGCTCAAATGTTCAATTATTTTATGCCCAGTCAAAATACGGAAAATCGGCCGCCATCTTGCCCCACGACCGAGTTTAAAGAGGAAAGGCTCTAGTGGGTAATGTGACGTCAAATCGAGAACACGAAAGTCTGCATTTCACACATTTTCACTTGTTTGGGAAGGTTGTAGTCGATAATTGTCCGAAAATATGCCGACTAAGTGTGTTGTAGAAGGATGTAGCAACGTGCGAAATTTGCAAGAGGGTATCGCGCTTCATACATTCTTCATACAACACACCTAGTCGGCATATTTCGGACAATATCGACGACAATCTTCCCAAACAAGTGAAAATGTGTGAGATGCAGACTTTCGTGTTCTCGATTTGACGTCACATTACCCGCTAGAGCCATTCTTCTTTAAACTCGGTCGTGGGGCAAGATGGCGGCCGATTTTCCGTATTTTGACTGGGCATAGAAAATTAAAGATTTGAGCAAATTAAAAAAATTTTGCACAGAAATACTCCAAAATATAAGCTTATTTCGTTGAGCGAAAAAAAATTTTGGGTTTAGGTGCACTTTAAGTAATAAAGAACTTTATAAAACATACTTGAATTTTATGGCACTTGCTATTTACAACCGCAATAGCTGCAGTCTGACGTAGATTTTCCCGCCCGCACCTCCCAAAAACAGTTGTCAACACACGTTTGGTTGGCGCACTTCGGACCTCTCTTGAAAAGAAAATTCTTTACCATCCTGCCATCCATTTCAAGTCCGAGATCGGTCAGCTGTTCTGTAAAAGGGAAGTAAAGGAAGCCATATCAAAGGCAAAGTTGGCGTTCGGGTGATTTGTATACATCATGACATTGAGCTAAATATTTTCCCATCCAGACCTTGCACTTGGTCAATAAGTACATATTATGCACTTATTGAGTGAGCAGGAGGGCTGGACAGGAAAACGATGGACCAAGTGCAGTGAGGCTTGCTCATTATATGCAACCAAACTCAGTCAATAAGCAGTTTATCATGATCACTGTATTAGCAAATAACAGGAAGTAGGATAAAGATTAACAACCACGCACTATAGACTGTATCAGGGGATGAAAAAAAAAATTAACAGATTTCAACCATTAACAGGATATAGACAACAGCGAGAGAGTAAAACTATGGATCAAATCTTAGGCATTATAGTTTCAGAAGAGACTGAACAGCGTGTTCCTTAACGTCGTATGTAAGGAACAACTGAATCAAGCCAAAAGTTTAACAAAATTGGAAAAAAGTTGATAAAGTGAGGTTAACGGAAAACATGACCACCTTTTCTTCTGAATCAGATCTTGTCGCTTAAATTGTTTGGTCCGGCTGTTTATTCAATATGATGCCTGTAGTACTCTTCACAGCGAAAAGAATGAGAAGGAAGGGCTTTAGAATGTAAAGGCACCGAGTTCTGTCTCAAGGATGTTTTCAGATATTGGCACTCTAACTGTATGGTTCGGTTGATTATTCAATATGCAAATGTAGACCTCTTCATAGGCAAATGAATGAAAAGGAAGGGCTTTAGAATGTAAAGACACCGTATTCTGCATTAAAAAAAAACTATTTTTCGAGCAGATTTCCTTTGTTTATCGGCTATCCTTACAAAGTAAGACGTAGGTAAACTTTGCTTAATAAATCAATTTCATTGCTCTATAGAAAGATGTACTCAAATCGCTCACTCATTGTTGTAAAGAGGGAATTCTTCCTCAGTAATCTTTAAGAACACTGTATCGGTGACATCATTGTTCGGTTATGTGCAATGCCTTCAACTATGCATTTAGACTTGAATTGCATTCAGGGTGATTGATATTAGTATCAACTAAGAAGGGCACAAAAAAGGATGGATTTTGCCCGGTTTTAGAGTGACATGTCCACCTCTATAGAAAAAAACAGCAAAGAAAAAATGGTCATCCTGGGGAGCTCTGTGTTGTCACACTTGCGTCTACAATCAGTTTTCGTGCGAGCGTCACCTGCTTGTCGGTATTAAACTACGAGAGTCCCTGTGACTGAGGTACATGCAGATCAACCTCTGCGCATGCTTTGCTAGCTCTTTTGGTTCGAAAGCTCTAATACTTGCCTCTGTCTAAATCAGCTGCTGCAAATGTCCTTCTAACCTATTCTGAGTAGGTTAGTGTCATATGAAATGGCCCCCCTGCTTCTTGTGGCTGTTGGCCCACATGACCTTTTTGCTGGAGAAAGATTGAAGATTAGCGCGAGAGGTTTACAAATTTTTTGCTGACTATCGTTGAATGAGAAATGATAGGAAGAAGGCAGGGAGTTTTCTTTTAAAGGGACACTGACCTGGTAGTAGTCGTGTATATTGGAATAACTGTAAACAAGAGAAGGCCGCCACATTTTTTATTCAACTTAAGTTGCACTTTACTACAATTGATACACGGAGACTGCAATGTGAAATTGAATTACTTCTCCTTTCATCTTCGAATACTTTAAGACATAAATTGCGTACACTGCATTGAACCTCTCAGTTAAAACTACTCTGTTTTCATCCCTTCTGTCTCATTAACTAGACTGCATTCACACACACAAGCACACTGCAAAGTAAAGAATCTCCTTTAGTCCTTGGTATTTCTATGATACCATGCAGGTCTGCGGCACAGAACCTGAAAGAATAATAAAGTCGACGATAAATAGCGAATACGAAAATACCTTCAATATTTTTATGGGATTTACAGAGTACTCCTCTAAATATTTCACTAGATATTTATTTCTTAAAGCTAGTGTATCCGGTTTACTAAACTCCTAAATCAATAGCCCAGTTCCAAACTACTAGTCACCTCTTTTCCAAAATAATATGTCCTGGTGCTTATTCTTTTATATGATCATTCACGTGCAAACTAAACTAACTTCCACACAGATGGTTGAGTTCAGGTCTCGTTTTTAAAAAGAGGCAAAAAACAATTCGGAAATGGCCCGTTAGAAAAGTCTCAGAAACGTAACTTTTCCAACTAATACCCCATCCACACTTCTATTGTAAAACATGATTCAAATTGGTTTTTCACATAGAAGCTGCTTCAGTAATGTTTGTCGAATTCAAATTTGGCAGATTGAAAACATAAGGAAGTGACTACATCTGAATCCTATGAAAACTTCAGATTTTCAATTCTCTGTTTCTGATTTTCGTTCAGTTCAACCCGGTTTAACTAAACATATTTTGCTGGTATTAATGGGATTTGTGGTCATAATTTTTTATACTTCTCATTTCCGATTCTAATCACAAAATTTCAAACCCTAAAAAGGAATGACGATCCAGACCGACATTGATACAAATCTCCCTCCCGAGGGAATAAAATGCATGAGGTTTTACCATACCGGAGTAAAACAAAGCTTAATAAAACTTACTTGGAGCTGGGACACTTGCTATCAATTACAGCAATGTTCGCAGCTTTTTGTATTACCAGCTCGCAGTTCCCTAGAACAGTTTTCCCAACAGACTTCTCTACATGCGGGGTTTCCCTTTTTTGAAAGAAAATGCTTTGCCTCCCTTCCATTCATTTTTTTCTCGGAATCATTGCTTTTTCCTGCAAAAGGAAGTAAAGCAGGCAGAAGTAAATTTTTGCGTTCAGATGACCTTTTAGGGTGGAAATAATTTTTTTTCACGTTTATACCCTGAGGCAGTCAAACAAGGTTAAAAAAATTATTTATTTATAGCGGTCATATAGGACTGAAAGAACTCCAATTCACACAGGCAATAGGACCAAGAGGAGATAACTCAGTCTAAGATCATACGAGTGATTAACAATATTGGATGACCGCGAAGTGGGAGTTCGATTTTTCAATCACGGGTATAATTACAGACATTATTGTATAGCTGGTAGTTAACACGAAAATGTCAGCATAGCTATTATTAATCACTGATTAATTTTATATAGTTTGAAATATTAATACGATTCTTCAAGAAGATTTACTTGCTCGCAAGGTCTTTGATAAATTAAGTTTAAAAATCAAGTCCATCATTACTGAATCTCTGTTATTGAGAAAGATATCAGCCAAAAGATGAGCCGACGATTTTACATTAATCCTAATGAATGAGCTTTTTACATAATACAAAACTGTTACGAATTTTTAGAAAAAAAATAATTCGAAATATCTGTAACTGAGGTCCTCTCTTTAAGCCTGTGCTAACATAAAAATATATATATATATATGCACGATACCTATGCCTTTAGGCGGCCCTCCTAGTTTTTTCGGATGACGAGCGCGTGACATCCCAACGACTACCAAAAATGCAAGTATGACAACACAAAGGGTCTTCATAATTGCAGAAGAAACTTTCGTGAGATCCGCGGAGGTGTCTGAAAAGAAAAATTGACAAAGAAATTATTTGGATCAAAATTATAATTTAAAAAAACATTTACACAAGCCCCGGAGTTGTTCTTCTTCTGTTAGATTTACCTCTTAGGTTTCAAAACGTTACCAGCGATGGCAGCAAAAGAGAGTAAAGGGAGAAGATCGCGTGACTCCAACAACAAACCCCCCCCCCTCCCTCCCCAAAAAAATTGTTGCAAAATATTAAATTACGTTATCAACCTTCCTTCGCCTTTCGTAAAGGCCTGTCGTAAAGGCAAAATCGATCGATGCAAGTGCAACAGCAAATCAGAGAAAAGGAAAGTGCATTTAAAAGCCGGGGCAATGAAAAATCAAATTTAAAACAAACCAAGTGCCTAAAGCGCGGGAAAATGCGTTTGACCAAGTCGTGATTTGGTTTAATTTGCAGCTGATTGATCTAGAGAGTGGCCTGAGTTTTCTCGAACAATCACAAGACAAAGTGAAGCACGATTAATTAATTATTTTTGAAGCTGCAAAGCGGGTGATTAATTTTAAGACCCATATTGCCGTCGCTAGGAATGCAAATCATCCTCCCCATTAATAACTCCCTTAATAAATTCAATGGAGACCCACGGGAGAGCGAAGGAGTTGCACAAGAAGAATGATTTTAAAACGTTTTGTTTTGCGCTAGTTTCCATCGGAAGGATTCACACCGGTTGCTCCGAAATTAAAAGCTTTCAATTTGCTCTTACATCTTGGGTTCTGAATCAAATAGTGTCTTCTTTTCTCTCCCAGGCCAGCGAAGAACACTAGACACCACAGAGTATTAGTCACCCAGCTTCTGAGTCATCAATCCCGAATCAATATCTAACAATTTTCTCAGTCGGTTCGTTTTTGCTGTGAACCTGTAGCGGAGCATTTCCACGATTCGTACGAAATTCCTAACATGTTTCCTTGAAAAGTGTTTATATTTCAAATCATTGAAAGGAAGAGCTAGTGTTTCTTGTGAAGGACTGTACGTATTTCAAAACTGAAAGTAGGGATAGCCGAGCCAAACTAAGATCAATTTTCCAATATATTGCAGTAGAATCGCAAGACTCACCTCGTTTCGTTGAGTCCAACTGAACTGTGTCAACTAAACGGTGGAGCAATCAGCTTTGAAGGTACACGGTGACATGCAGTCAAATTACTTTCTTTTCTGTCAACAGGCGGTGGTTTTAATGACAGGATGACACTTGCTATTGTTAACATTCAAATTAACATTCAAGCTAACATTCAAAGGCTAGTCATTCTATTGTTAGGGGAGAGTTGATATTGTTTGCTTTTAGCCACATTATGTTTAACAATTATGCTTTGTCTACACTTTTTCATGATTAGGTTCGTCTAAGCCGAGGTACAATAAAATTTTTAATTGGTTATGAAGCACAACAACAGAGGAAAAAATACTTCCGAAAAGAGATCTCAAGTCACTCAAAAGTCCCCAAACTCTGTGTTATGGTTCAACACTTTTCTCAATTGCACCACTGATTGTATCATTTTTGTAAAAGAGCTAAGTTTCTAAAGAATCTGTGTTACTGCGTCAGTACCCCCCACTGGTCCCATTAGGATCCTTGAGGGGTCAGGAAGGCAACATTAGGGAACAATTCGATTAAATGGTACATTGCATCTTTTTAGTAAGAAATTCGCGAATGCTTGGATGCGTTAACTGTCTCTTCCGGTGCCACACTTTATGATCGACCGCAACCTTAGGTATGTGAGCAGCCCTGAGTTCCAAATGGAAAGTTAACATTTCAACTTTGTTGATATATCCAAATTATTACAAATTGATGGCTTAGTTGAAGTCAAGATTCTAGAAAGTAATTAATGTCTGCGTCGGTGTAAACATCAGTAATATGTTTTTGAGATCAGTGATTTTCCGCCCCACCTCCATTCTGTGTTGCATGTCACATTGTTAATCGATTAATTTATGACGTCAAGCGGCAACTTAACAGGAGCGCTTATTAAAAGGTTTTGTTCTTTTGAAAGTAAATACTGATATTTCATCACGTACCCTTGGAATATATTCTGTCTTCTCTTTTCGTCAATTCTTTTCCCATTAGTTTCCTGGCACATTTTAAGTGGAGTCATTACGACTATTTTAGCAAGTTATAACAGTGCCTGAAAAGCCAATACGCAGAAATTCCTGTGGGAATCGAACTTCGTTCTAATGTAATTGTAAATTCTTTCTTTTGTTCATATAAATCACAAAGGGAACGAAAACGCTTCATTTAACGTAGACGCGAGATATTTTCGCTATTTTGTTTAGTTTGTTTTCGTAATTTTGCGGACATGTTTCAATTAGTTTAAATCCCCATTTTTCGCGCTCTGAATCTTAAAATCGCCTTGCGAAATTATTTCGAAAGCAGACAAAAGTTGGTTATTGGCTGTCCTTTCCGGGCCAGGGCCGTCCTTACGAAAGTGGGGAATTATCCAGAACGTAAATCTTGCGTGCGTGCTTTCGAAAGATGATCTCAAGTCAATCATTGATAGATCTTTTACCAGTTATAGGGCCCGGACGTACTGGATTGACAAAATTTGTTTGGCCACTCCAAAAATCTCGACAAAATTTGTCTCTGCCAAATTTTTAATTTGTCAAGGGCGGGCGCACTGAGACACTGCAAAATATTTGTTAACCACAAGCGTCAATCACACGGAAATAAACACCATCGCTTGCGCGTTGTTCACTGGAAAGGCTACATGAGATCTTAGGAGTCATGGGCTTATGGTGATCTTTAACCGCTTCGATCGAATATGTTGCCACGGCATATTATTGCTTGTATTCTAGGTTTCTTCCTCCTTAAATTCGTTCAACTCCAGCAGAGGCAGTTGCTACTTCTACTATGCCAATGGAGGCTTTATCTTGTTCGACTGACTGATTCTATAGCACCAGAACAGATTTGTCCCTAGAAGGCCGCGAAAGCCTCATCCTTATTATTGGAACCTAACTAAGCCTTGTAATTCTTGGTTTGAAATTAATTTTCATAGGCGTAATACCCCCGATGAATTCTTTTATCTTCAGATGAGAATGTTCGGGATGAAATACTCCGACTAAAAATAGAGATAGAATCTTCTTGATTGACATTTTCCTTCGAGTCATGGCGTGTAAATTAACAAATCTGTCAGATTTCACGCCTAAAAAAAATTTTTCCTGCTCCGAGGCAGGACGACGGCGTATTTGAAGTTTGGCAAGGCTTGACAAAATTTGGTAGATCTAAAAATCACTGGGCGCACTTGTCTCAGGGAACTGGTGACAGATTTTTTCCCAAAATAAAGAAAAATTTGCTCAGTGCGTCCGAGCCCTTAGAACGCTTGATAACCGCACAGATTTCGATGTCTTCTAAAAAGGACTGCATCTACGACATCATTGTCCTCGACTATGTTTATCTTTTTGCTGTGATTATGCATCGAGATTGGATGGTTTAAGTTGAGATTTAAGATAGCGTTTCTTAACAACGCCACAAAAAAAAAAAATCGGGCTTTCCACTCAATTTTACAGTACAATAACAAGCAGAGATACTCAGGCTCAACAATTTCAAAAGTTGATGCTAAAAAACTGGGGCGGTCCTAGCTGAAGTCAATATCATTCTTGTTGAGTAAATTTCAAAGGGAAATGTGTTTTTCAATCAGTTATTTGATAATAAGAAAATACTAATTGATGTATCGGAACAGCTACAGAGTGATTTACATCTCGATAGGTAAAAATATCAGTAATGTGTTCTGGGATCAGTGATTTTCAAAAGATATCCGTTCATGGTCACACATCAAGAAGTCACTGTCCAGCAGCGTTTGTCCTTTTGAAAGTAAATGTTGAATTCAGCACCTACCCCTAGAGAGCATCCGATCTTCCCTTTTTGTCAATTCCTTTTCCTTTAACCCGCATCTACATCAGAAGTGTTATTGTTACGATGATTTAATCAACTCACAACTACTTGAAAAGCCCTAAGCAGCTACTTTGGTAATGTTGGGGATAAGTAATTTTTCAATAGACTTTCGCTCAGGGTCACGCATCAAACAACCGTTTGCCAAGAGCATTTTCAACTTTCATCTGTAAATGAAAGTTGAATTGATCACGCACGCTTGGAATTGGCTCTGTCTCTGCGATAAAATGATCTACATCAACTTACAACAATACACCTAAACCTTAATCAGCTATTACGGCCGCTGGTCATGTTGCTATAAAAAGTTTGAAATATTTCCTCGGCTCACGAGAGCGCTATCTCCCAATGTGTTTCTATAAATTTGTCCTTTTGAAAGAAATTTGTCCTCGTGAATTTGTCCTCGTGAATGAAAACATGCTTTCTGACTTTCCCCCGAAAAAATTGCTGTGTATTGTTCAGGTTATCTTTGGCAAAACTTTTTCGATCTGGTCAAATCCCCACTCATTTTTTGATTTTTAAAACTCCAGTCTCTATTTAAATCAAACACAAACAATGATGATTGGGCTACACAGTTTATTGACTTACTAAACGAGAGGCAGGCGTTAGGGATCAGTAAACTAAACCGCTAAGGATGATGTTCATCACTCTTAGAAGTGACAGAGTTAAGGTTCGATAAAAGTAAAGCTTCGTAGCTGTCCTTCTCTCCCAGAAAATGCTGCGAATCAGCCTCGTAGAGCAGTCTTAAATAACGACCTTAATCCGAAGTAAGGCTGATGTAGCTATTTTCGTGCGTTTCAACATTCAACGGATCTCGCACGTTTTCGTGCTACTGTACTTGAAATCTCATGTGTGCAAAGGAAACTGTACCCATAAAGACAGTTCATGACCTGAAATCGAGTTCAAAGAAGGAGCAAACTTAAGCATAACGACGCATATCGTATCGTAACTGTAACTATGTTTGAATTTTAGCGTATGTTGCTTGCACGCATCCGATCTTTCTCTCTTTGATTATCAACTCTGAGCTTCTCCTTAACCCAGCTTCAACTCCCACAAGTGATTAACATGTAACTTCTCTCTATAATATTCCTAGAGTTGAGAATACTTAGACTTATATGGCAGAAGTTGTTACCTTAATCTAACTGCTTAAGTCTCGTACCTTATTTAAAAGGAAAAGTGCAGCTGCTAGAAGAGAGAATTACTAATCAGATCTTGGGATTAAGGGTTAAATTTTTGATACCTTACCAAACAAGCAGGTATTGTGTGAAAAATCCAATAATGTAAAAAGAGGCTAGAGTGCAAATTCCGAAGAAATATGTATTTGATAATATATGTAGTAAAATAACCACAACATTCGGTGCGGATAAAATAAAAACTGAGAAATTTCTTGAAATTCAAAACTGAGGAATAACAAATTGGCTTGAACGAAAAGTCAAAAAGCAGAAAACATCTAACTCTTTAGAACAAACCATAAAACTCACACCAGGAAAATGTCCACGTCAATCTTTAATGTCAAATTTACGATCGCTAGAGTAATTAGATACATACCTAGCTTGCAGTTTAATGATTCTTAGATTATCTTTTGTATGTTTCTTGCGTGATTCTTTTTAATATTGTAACTTAAGATATGTACTTTTATCTTGAGCGAGTAAAGATTATTATTACTATTATTATTATTGTTATTATTATTATTATTATTATCATTATTGTTAATAGTGCAAGTTCACGCTAAGTGCAAGGCGAGTTAGCGTTAATAAGCGCACGAGCGTTTATCTAACCAGTAATGTTTAGTTTGGAGTTAGAGAGGGCGGGAAGGGGCGAAATGACGCTGTAATATTTATTCCCCCACCCCAGCCCCTTTCCTTATTTTAACCGTCTTTCAACCACTTGGAACAAATCGCTTTTTCTTCCCGACCTTCGTCTTTCATTAAAATAAAAGATGGCGGCCATACTTCGCTCACAAGACACTGAGCACTCTCTCGCAAAAATTACGCATGCTCTGCAAGCGGAATAAAGACGGTACTGAGACACTGGCGCTAAACGAGGTACGGATGGAATTATATCTTTTTTCTCCACGGGCGCTGATCATGATTAACACTACTTCCTGTAAGCCAAACAAGAGAAGCTTGACTTGAGCGGTGGTCATATGCGAAGGGGTGGGGCGAACTAGCGCAAATAAATAAATAAATAAATAGAAAAGAGCAGGTTAGTGGGAAGGAAGCGATTGCTTTCCATTCCCTCTTCTTTACTCTGCCATTTTCATTTTTTGTTTTTAAAACAGGGGACGGTCCTTGCCTTGGGGCCAGAGATCCAACAAGCAAGAAGTACACGTGGCTGACGTCCAACCTGGTAAAATTTGCCATCAAGGTACTACAGAATGTAAAAGAACTGAATCTCAAATTTTTCTTCTTCGCCGCACAGACATGGCTGCCAATTTTAGATATCCAATCCGTTTAAGGACTTTCTTGAAATGTTAAATAAATTGGATTTGGCGTTTAATTCTTGAAGAGGAACGATTAAGCCCCTTCCAACTCGCTGTCTTGTCATCAATGCAACAGGATAGCATTCCATTTCATATGCCTGTAATATTATAAACATTGTTTCTCCCCCAGGTTCATGAGAGGGCAACGTTCGTTTGTGCTGGCCTGGTCGCTTTGGGTTGCGAACCCTCACAACAGACCTACATTAGTATCTATGGACTAGACCGAGTGGATGTGAGATGTATTAAAAAAAAAATAGCCTTGTATGAAATGTGACATATCAAATGTGAGACGCGAATCGTGAGATGTGATATGTGACAAGCGAAACTGCAATTTCTTGTTCTATGGGGATTATCTTCTTAAAGCAAACTTTGAGTTAAATATTGGAAGAAAAAGGGTAGGTTGGGAAACGGACGTAACCAAGAGATTATTCATATTCTCTTGCTCCTATGAGTGACCAAGAAAGAGTTTTTCCTTTTAACAGCAGTACAATATCAATTAGAAAGGTTATGAAAATGAAGAAACATATTAATAAGAAGATAGCTAGCTGATCCAATACGAAATTCTCCAAACTAAAATCATAAGAGCTGTTCTAAAGAAAACAAGGAGAACAACTGATGCCGGATGTTAGGAGATCGAGAGTTAAAAGCGACGCTATGTCTAAAAAAAAAAAAGTGGTCAAGCAATTCCTGAAATGGATCTACATTTAACAGGGAAAAAAATCTCCTCTGTCGTGACCAAACATTGACATTTTGTTCAGGTTTTGTTTAAGTCTTTTTATCTTGTTTGTACACATTGCGTGTCTATGCGTTGGTTACCTTTAACTCACGTGATTCACGTGACTTCGAAGCTGACAAATGTAAAAAAAAAATCCCTCAGACGCTGATGACTTTGATTTTTCTTTCTTTTTTACTTGTAGTGCGTTTCCACTGATCTAGGTTGTCAGATGTTCTCAATGGTTTCCGTGCCGGTGTACGCTACTCACGGTGCTGAAGAATGCATCTTCATCATAAACCATAGTGAGAAATTGATATCATATGCAAGCCAATGTTCATCTTTTGGCCACTATGATGTAGAGCGTGGCTGGTAACAGGGGAGTTGGGTCAGAGGGGAAAATTACTTACAGCAAGAAGTGTGATCTATGAACATTCCCAAGGTAATACAACGCCTATCAAGCGAATGGCGTTACCCGGATTATCTCATTTACTGATTAATTATCTATTTGTATATCCTTGCGATGGACTGGACTCCTGTCCAGGGAGGAGTAGTGATACATCTTGTCAGAACTTATCGGTATTTTTCTCTGATTTTCCTTTTCGTTTCCTCATCACAGAAAATTGGAAGAAAGAAGATTAACTCCTTATTTCAATGATGAACTTTCGAAATAAGTATATAAAAGTTAATGGTAAATAGTTAGGGAAACCTCCGCCCACTCGATTAGTATTTGTGATGTAAATCCAGTTTCTCATGATCAAAACTGGTCATTTTTACTCCTAACTGCTTTGTATACCATCAGCCATTCGTATAAATCTACTCAAGTCCTATCAAAAATGCTGCAATCTGATAGGCTACGCTACACGCTACCTATTACATGATAGACAGTAAGTGGAGTGAGCAGTCTGAAAAATTTACATTTCTAAACTAAATAAAATATAAACATGAGTCGGTCTTGTAGTTTAGTTGCGAGCGACCAATAGATATATACTAAAGCATGCGTGAAAGAAGTCTTGTATCCTTAATCTAGTACCTGACTTGAGACTAGTGTTAATAGTTCTTTTTTTAATCGGGAATATCTCCTTACATTAACTATTCTCAGACGAAAACGTTAGGATTGGGGACTCAAAAAAAAAAAAAAAAAACAGAAACAAAAACAACAACAACAACAAATAAAAGATCTAGAAGCAAAAGATTGGAAGCACAGGAGAACTGACGCGTGTGAAGAAGTCGGATTAGCTTTACTTTGAAGCTAATTGTTTGTTATGGCGACGCGGTTTATTTATTTACTAATCGCAGAACGCAGTGAGAGCTGATTGCGTCAAACAATGGCAGAAGTCAGCGACCGAGCGGTCTCAGCTCAAATAATTTATACCCTGGTCTGTTGAAAAGATAATTGCTTAAAATCCTTTATATGTTAAATCTGACCACGAACAATATTTCTGTCCCAAGTTTTGAAAATAAAGCGGCTTAGATTTTATACTCAGAAGACATTACTTTCATTTCGCTTTTTTTCCTACTCCCATTTACATTTTTTAACTGATAAAAATATAAGCTCCCATGCGGCCACTTAAAACATTACCCCCTACCTAGTTCCTAAAGCATTTAATTTTTGTGTTTTGCTGTAAGGTATTCGTACGAATGCATTCTTTAGTAAAACACCTTTATGTTCCTTCTTCGTTATAGAATTTACTTGGTGGGCACGTGCGATACATCCCTTGTGGTTTTGCACCTCTGTCAGCTTAGGTGACGTCATTCATTAGATACATCAGGGGGTGTCACTTGAGTTAACCATTTGCATGAAACATCTTCGTAGCGAGAAGTTACCTAAAAGCTAAACCTATTTTTTCTATTTTATGAAGGGGCTGGGACAAATTGGGCCATCGTTGGCGAGCAAGATAGGACCAGTTTGTCCGTTTTAGTAGCAAAACAGAACCACAACTTCATTTACTTAATTTTTACCGTACATTTTTTGGCACTTGTTTCCTCAGTTGACTGAGGGCTGTGGTCAGACTGAATGCGCAGCGGCTGCCACCTTCAAGTTGTTCAATGACGTCACAACAGGTGTGTCAAGCTCTTTGTATGTTTCTTGGCGTCTGTTAAGGTCAGTGGCCAACTCAGTGGCAGATGAATGCGGACTTGCTAACTTGCTCATCAACTGACGGACAGCCCGACTGACGGGCTGGCTGGCTGACCGCCTGGCTGGCCGGTTGATTGAACGAGGGAGTTACTGACTCAATGATTGACTTGCCGACTGATAGGCTGGCTAAATAAAAGAAAAAATAGCTGATTAAGGTAATTCCCTTTGCTTTGTATTTTTTCTTGTTTGGTTTCTATACAAAACAAAAGGTGAATTCTTTACCCATCACTCTAACAGGAGTGATATGTACAGTACAATGTAGTATACTCTTAAGAATACAAACTGTACCTTAAAATTTGCTTTTTATACTTCAGAACCACACTTCAATGTCTAACAGGGCCTCATTCTGACTACTACATTTTCCGTGCAAAAATGATTTTAAAACATTAATTGCACAAATCACAATCTTAATTTATATTATCTATAAAGTATCAGTTGACGAATTTGCGCCAGCACCCGCTTGTTTGAGGAGACTCTGGGTTTGTTGTCAAACCTCTCCATCAGAACCTGCTTCACCCCTTCTTCCTTGTCTCTTTGGTTTACCACTTGTAGATTGGCTTCCCATCATAAAACAGTATTCCTCTTTGGAAGGTGAGTTTGTTCACAGCAAATGCTTCTGGTGATATTACATTACAAGGCTTGATATAAGTAGAGAACTCATCTTTAACATCTGTTGCTGCAATTTGTAGGATTTCAGCATCAGTACCTGTTTTAAGATATTGTAATCCAATTATTACTTTACAAAAATATTACATTTACAAAGAAAAATGTAATAAATGTAGTGTTCTCCTGTTTCAATTAGAAGCAGGTTAGGACCAGCTCATATTAACAACATACAACACACGTGTTGGTGTCCGCCATGTGTTCTTTTAATTAGTCTCCAATATGCGCATATCTAATTAGTTGTTAACGTGACACGGAAATGGATTACACAACAATTAAAAAAAGCTTAGTGCATCTATGCGATATCTATCTAAAATAAAAATATAAGGAGCGATTCCTGAACACCTGTCTTGGTAATTTGCATCTCACCTATTTTATTTAAGAACAAGGCACGATAAAACAATGGAATTTATGTGATGCAAATTAGCAGGATGAGTATTCAGCAATCTAGCAAAATAGAAAAACAATTCCTTGATTAAATATAATTATTCTCTAATGTGCCATTCAGAAATACCCTGCTAAGACAAACATGGTTATATTCACTTTCAATTGTTACTTTTTCGCTAAACTCCCCCCTGCAAGGCTAATTAAGGCTAATTCCAGATGTTTCCAAATCAAATATGATTTGATGGTAGTCTTTGGTTAATGATACTTTCTCAATTTTTAGGCTGCAGGTGGTGCGGGAATTTCCTGAGCAGCATCGTGTCCATCAAAACCCATTCCTGAACTATAATGTTGTCCTTCTCCGTTCTCAAGCTGTTTTGTCTTTTTCAACTGCTTCTCTTTCTTCTCAATTCTTTTCTTCTTGTACTCTCTTGTTTTCTGTTTCTCTTTCAAACGTAGAATTTTCTTGTCCATTTTCTTTGTAAACTTTAAAGAATTGGAACCTGGAGATAGTTGTGTCTTCATAAAAGGCTATGAGAAATTCACCAGTCTTTGTGAAAACCATATTCTAAGTTACAGTATAGTGATGATTTATTTATTTATTTTTTTTTTGTGACTTATGATATGCAATAGGTACTGGTAGTACAACACTGGACACATTGAATAATTAACAATTATTCCACGAGCGCGCGTTGGATATGAGATGATAGATAGCCAACGAGGTGCGTAGCGCCGAGCTGGCTATAATCACCTCATATCCAACAAGCGAGAGTGGACTAGTTGTTTTATTAAAAACGCCCCCCAAGATATTAGACAAATCTTACCAAATCTTAAATTTTTAAGAGCCAATGCCTATAAAAATCGAGCAAAACTGAAATTTCGCGGCCACAGCCAAAAATTTTTTTTCCGCTGATATTTTGTCCATAGATAGCTATTGGTAAGTAACTAAACATGAGGTAGTTTTTTTTCAGAAAGGCCTCTTTAATTTGGAGAAAACCGATAAAATCTGTTTTTGCTGTCGGCGACTTCAGGACAACCAAAATTTAAGACGAAATGGGTCCGTTCTCAAAACTCGCTTGCATTCAAAAGGGAAGAAAGAGAGATAAAGTATTTTCTGATGCGTCAGTTCAGAGAGGGTTTTGCTTCTAGATTGGTGGTAAATATTCCATTTAGCCGTAATCTGATCAGCGAACAATAATATTTTAGAACTGCTTTATTCTTAACCGTAAGTAATTTATAATTTAGCCGAAAGTCGCGATTAAAATTTTAGGCATACCCTGAGACTCAATTCTTTTGGTCTTTGAACATTGTACCATAAGGCACGTAAAAACTGGCTTGAGTAATTCAGTTTGCGCTTCACACGAACTCTCCGAAGTTGAACAAAATTTGGTTGAAATATGAGACATTTGAATATTTCACTTTATTAAACTTGTTATTTCTGAAAGAGATCGATAATCTTTTTCTTAGCCGAAACCTAACGTATTTATTAAATACGCTATTGCTGTACAAACATTAAATTGAGGCAAGGTTTACTGGCTTTTTAATGAATATGACTGATGTTGCTACCCTCTAAATTAGTTACAACAGAGTTATAAATTGAGGAGATAAACCGATAAGNACAGGAGTGATACATACAGTACAATGTAGTATACTCTTAAGAATACCAACTGTACCTTAAAATTTGCTTTTTATACTTCAGAACCACACTTCAATGTCTAAAAGGGCCTCATTCTGACTACTACATTTTCCGTGCAAAAATGATTTTAAAACATTAATTGCACAAATCACAATCTTAATTTATATTATCTATAAAGTATCAGTTGACAAATTTGCGCCAGCACCCGCTTGTTTGAGGAGACTCTGGGTTTGTTGGCAGACCTCTCCATCAGAACCTGCTTCACCCCTTCTTCCTTGTCTCTTTGGTTTACCACTTGTAAATTGGCTTCCCATCATAAAACAGTATTCCTCTTTGGAAGGTGAGTTTGTTCACAGCAGATGCTTCTGGTGATATTACATTACGAGGCTTGATATAAGTAGAGAACTCGTCTTTACCATCTGTTGCTGCAATTTGTAGGATTTCAGCATCACTACCTGTTTTAAGATATTGTAATCCAATTATTACTTTACAAAGATATTACATTTACAAAGAAAAATGTAATAAATGTAGTGTTCTCCTGTTTCACTTAGAA